GAAGTGATACAAGATAAGACAGCCACAAAGGGCCTTAAGGTAACATGCTAATATCCTGCAGGAAATGAAGAACCACTGAAGGCTTTTAAGAGGGTAGTTCAAAGAGCAGAATTGTGGTAATGGTGTGGGAGGGGTGTAAACTAGAGGCTCAGAGATGAGTTAGGAGGGTTTTGCAGTAATCCTAGTCAGATGATGCACTGAACTCAAACTGGTAGCTAGATGAATGAGTAGAAAGATTCAAGAAATATAGAGGCTAAAATCAGAAGGGCTCAGTAATTGAATAAATGGAGGGAGAGAGGGATGGAGAGAGGGAAGGAAAGAGGAAGGGAGAGAGGAGAGGAGAGATGTGGGATGATTCCTGGTTTGGGCTTAGAAGCTCAAGTGGATGGATGATGCTGCCCCTAAAACCAGGAATGTAGGATGATCAGGTTCAAAGATGGAGAAAAGGACAATTCAGGGTGTTTTGTTTTTTTGGGGGGGAGGAGTATTTTTTTATTAATGTAAATAATATATACATACATATTTATCAAAACCAATCAAGTACCAATGAACTTATGAAGCCCAACCTCTCAAAGGAAACTTTTGTTATTTCTGGAAGTTATCTCTGTAATTCTAAATGTCTATGCCTCTAATTCTTGATTTATCAATTTCACATCTATGTATTGATACCCTAAAGTAAAAGATCAGGATAGCCCTAGATGGTCTGGCTCAGTGGATAGAGTGTCGGCCCTTAGCCTGAAGGGTTGGGTCACATACCTTGGTTGCAGGCTTGATCCCCAGGCCCTGGGCAGGGTGTGTGCGGGAGGCAACCAATTGATGTGTCTCTCTCACACTGATGTTTCTTTCTCTGTCTCTCCCCCTTTCTTTCAAAATCAATGGAAAAATATCCTCAGGGGAGGATTAACAAAAACAAAAAACAAACAAACAAAAAAGATCAGGATATATCAATACTTAAAATTCTCTCCTCTCCATTCTCCCTCCTCCCAATGTTTGATAGCTGTTATTAATATTCAGTTCTACTGAGTAGTTGCAACTTTCAATAATACACTTAAACCTCTACTTCTTGCTTTACAGCTTCAGTCACTACTCAATTCCCCTCGATCTAAGAAAAAGATAGTAGCACTCCTACCCTTTCTTTCACTTTTCCCAACTCCCACCTTCTGTTATCTACACTTTTATTCTGTCTATTTATTATTCACTGAATTCAGTGAGCCCTTGTGGGACACGCGATGGAAAGGTTCAGCAGGAGGTTACGCAAACAAGTCTGGAGCTCAGTGAGGATGTCAGGGATGCCATCCAGGGTTGGGAGTTAGCAGCACACACGCAGTCACTATAAACCGCCACAGTGCATGCCGGAGAGTTCACAGAGAGAAGAGAGCAGTGGGCCAAGGACAGAGGCTGGGAGAGCACCAGCGTGTAGTGGCAGGCACAGAAGAGCCACCAAAGGAGACAGAGAGGAGAACCAGGACAGACTAGTGTTATAGAAGCCCAGGGCCAAGTTTCAAGAATACATATTTCCTGAATACTCACTCAGATATCAGCCAGTATTTTTTGCAATGTCTTCTCCACAGAGGATCATGACTTGATAGCTGGCTAAGTCTTCGACTGACGTAGCAACAACTGACAGTAACCAGATTCACGGTTAGTATAGAAAAAAAAAAGAAAAGAAAAGAAAACAATTTAAAAATCAAGATGAAAATTTTCAATGTTAAGATTTATTCTATTCCTTTTGCTTTTCCCATTTTCCACTTTCTACCCTTATAATTACAAAACAATATTTTCAAAATCTGTTTAATGTGTTAGCTAGTTACGTTTTGAGTACTGAAATCTTAACTATTTGAGTTCACAAATAAACCCCCAAATCTCTACAGTGGTAATTTTCTTATGGAAGTCTACAAAATATATAAAGCACTGGAGTTCATTTCAAATCAAAGACCTCCCTACACTCCTTGTGACGATAATCATTTCTGCACACAGGAAGAGTGTTATTCAGTGTGTGTATTTTTAAGATCTGTGAGACATTTTATATTATTAATACACAAGACTTTTGTTTGTTTTGTTCCAATTTTTCTTAAAAGAAATAAATATTGCAGCCAAAAACATTTTAATTATATCAACGATTGGAGAGCCCATCTATAAAGTGTCACCGTCTATTTCAATAGCCATAGCTATTCGAGTATCAACTGCTCAAAAGCATGCAATGTTAGAAACAAATAAATTCCTTGATACATATTATATTCTATATTGTATTCTTTTTAAAAATATGTTTTTATTAATTTTAGAGAGAAAGGAAGGAGAGGGAGGGAGGGGGGAGAGAAACATGGACGGTAGCCTCCGGTAAGCACCCTGACAGGGGACTGAACCCGCAACCTGGGCTATGTGCCCCAATCAAACCGAAGACCTTTTGGTGCACCGGACGACACTCAACCAACTGAGCCACACCGGCCAGTGCTATACTGTGTCCTAACACAACAGTGTTCCTATCCTGTAAATCCAACACTACATATTTAATTTGCAAAAAGGATGAACCTAAGATTAGGAAAACGGATTTCTATCTTTCCAGAAGAGGAATCACAAGTTATAGAAAGTAGTATTCAAAGATCTCACTTGGGCAATGTTAATCAATTAAGGGAATCTTAAATCACATGGGGTTTGCCAAGGCCACGAGCAGGGCATGTTAAAAACTTCCTTCAATTTTCAGATTTTACACAAAATTCAACCTCACCCTTTTCTGCCAAGCTCACAAGATGCCCAAATGAACATTTGCAAACACTGAATCTGTCCAGTTTTGTAATTCAGAGTCCTCCTATCTTGATCCTTCTCCTCCACTGTCCCAAGAGTTAAACAACACAAAGGAATCTCTGAAGTAAGCATCAAAGGTGATTCTGATGCACAGCGAGGATGAGAACTACTGTTCTAGAGATTCTGACTCAGTTTGCTTGGGGCAAGATCTTTACCTCAGGCACATGTACGTTTAAAAAGTGCCACATGTAATTCTGATACACATTGAGGGTTAAGAATGATTGGTACATAATAAATCACCCTGGAATGGAGAAGAAGATTCAAACTATGCAGTTGCTATTACACAATGACCCTAATGAATGAATCCAATCCAACCCAATCCAGTTCAGCAATATGTACCAAAAACTTCAGAGCTTAGCAATGAGCAGGACACTTGACAAAGTTGAGCTGTGTTTTTCTTAAAAGAAATATAGTGTAGGAAAGAAGTTGCAGTACATTGGAAACTTTTCTGTGGATAAAATGCAATGGTTCTTGTTAATGTTATGTGTCAACTTGCTTGGGCCAACGGATGCCTAGATAGCTGATTAAACATTATTTCTGCGTTGTGCCTGTGTGGATGTTTCTGGAAAAGATTAGCATTTGAATTGGTAGACTAAGTAAGCCAGATGACCTTCCCCAATGTGAGTGGACATCATCCAATCCAGTGCGGGCCTGACTAGAACAAAAAGGCAGAGGAAGGCTAGATCTGCTCTCTGACTGACAGCCTGAGCTGAGCCAGGGATCTTCTATGCCCTTGGCGTCCCTGCTTCTCAGGCTTTCAGACCCAGGCTGGCATCTACACCATCAGCTCTCCAGCTCTCAGCCCTCGGAATTATACCACCAGCTTTCTTGAGTCTCCAGCTTGCAGATGGCAGACAGTAGGACTTCTCAGCCTGCATGATTCATGAGCCAATACCTTATGATAAGTCACACACACACATTCTTTCTCTCTCAAGAACCCTAATACAGTATTCAACTCAGCTCACTTTCATAAACATTTATGGAGGGATCATGTCGCATCTGTTTACAGCTTTGATTACTACCTAAAGCATTTAAAATAAAATCTGATCTCCTCACCTTGGCTCACAAGGACCTGCATGAGCTCACCAGTCTCTTCGCAAGTCACTCTGCCTGAGTCACTCCCTACCTCCTGCAACACCAGCCTTCTAGCTCCTCCAACAGGCCATGCTGTGGTCCAATCAGCTGCTGAGCACACTGTTCCCTCTGCCAGGACTGCTCTCTGGCGTCCTTCATACATGGTAGCCCCTTCCGATTTGAACTGATTGTCTCTCCCTCTCATTCCCTAACAGAGTAATTGATTTATTTCCTTCATAGCACTTAGTATCTCTTGTATCTGCACTTGTTTTCCATCTTTCCCACTAGACTGTAAGCTTCATGAGAGACGCCTTATCTGTCTTCCTCACTATTGTATCCAAGACATTTAATAGACTGGCACACAAAGGCATTTAAAAAAAATCTGTGAATAAATGATGATTACAAAGATAAACAAGACAGTTTTTACATGGCAAATAAACAGAGAAAGAAGTTAAGAGAAAGGAACCAAGTGAGGGGGTCTTAAAGAAATTTCATCCTGCCAGGATGGGAAGGGGGGACAAGGCATTGCGGGGCAAGGTCAAGAGCGGAAGCCACAGAACACAAGCATGTAGTATGCTGGCCAAAGTCTGATTTGGCTACAGTGCACTGTGCCAAATGCTAAGAGTCTTAAATGCTTCCAGAAATTTAGATTATAGTCTGCAAACAAGAGGTGTCGAAGTTTTTTAAGGAGAAGACAGGAAGATCTGTCTTAGAAAGTTCACCCTGCAACAATGTAGTCCATAGACCATAAGGGTGTGTGTCTGCATTCGATGTTTAAGAGGCTATAGCAACAGAGTATTTCAGATGAAGACAGTCTGCAGCCGGATCAGCCTTTCCCAAAGAAAAGATAAACTTTATATCTGCTTTAGTACAAGCCCGGGTAGACAAAAATTTTGTTTTCAGGAAAAAATAAGTGTTACAGGTACCACAGCCAGAAACTGGAGTTATCCCTCTGTCACTACTTAGCTAGACCAACCAACAGCGACCAGCAGCTCCCAAAAGGCTATATTTCTGAGAGGATCCCTGATAACACAGGGCACAATCCTCAAACCGCTAGAATCCAATAGTTAATCCAAAAACACACACACACACACACACACACCAAAAACAAAAACCGGCTAGAATCCAATAGTTAATCCAAAAAAAAAAAAAACACACACACACACACCAAAAACAAAAACCCTGAATCTCGCCTACCCATCCTTAAGAGGGCGACTTCACCTCCTCTTCAACAGACGTGGCAGCACAAAAAAAGACAGAGCCATGCCACCAGCTGTCAAGGGTGTAAACAGCGCCATTTCTGCTACCATCCCAGACAGTCTCCAGCGCTGAAGGAACTGGGCGGAAGGAACTGGGCATCGAACCACCCCGAGCGGCAAGCGGTGTTCATTTCTGGAGCAGATGCTAGTGATCTGGGCCACCCGAAGCGTGCGTGCAGGAGAGACAGCGGTCACCTGTACCGCACCAACGGGAGTCAGTACCAAGACACAAAATGCAACCTGTCACAGCGAGGAGCAAGGCTGGCAGCAGAACGATGTCTGCAGCAGCGAAGTCCCAGAGTGCGCCGCGCGCCGCCAGGTACAAAGGTGCGCGCAAGTCTCACCTGGGGTCTGGGGGTCGCCTGGCTCCTCCTCGCCGGCGCCCTGCCTGCCTATTCCGGGGGCCGCTGCGCAGAAGAGCGCTCGGGCCAGAGAGGGTCTTTCCAAAGCGGCCGGGGCTGGGGCACCTCGGG